TGATTACTTGTTTTGTTAATATAAACCATTTAATTTTAATAAAAAAATATATATATAATGGGTTGTGCTTAAAGTAGGTAAAATGAGAAAAGTAATATGATATCATTAGAAATAAAGTACTTATTACCAGAATTGGTTTAAGCAATAAAATTAGATTAATAATGTGTTTATTCAAATGAATCGCCAATAAAAGTATAAACTATTTAATATTTTAGTTAACTCCTATAAAGGAGATAGGTGGAATATTTTGTAAATTGGAGAGTGTTTTACCATCTGGATCAGTTAAAATGAGAGCAATGTATCACATATTATTTAGGTTGCAATAAAAAAAAGGCATAAAGGATTAGAATAATTAAATTTGGTAATTTGTTCATCTGGTAATGCTGCTACTGCTTGCATAAAATGTTTAAAGATTCTTAAATATGAAAAGAAATAAGAATAATAAATTGATTAAAAAATTAGTGAATTAGTTTAAGATGATACTCTTACTGATCCAGGATAATCATGTATTATTAAAGATTGATAACTATAATCTAAAATAAAACCATATGAATTATTCGGATAACTTATTATATTTTATAAACAATTAAATGATATTCATGATTTAAATGATTTACCAAATGTAAAAATTATACATTCTCAATTAAATAAATAAGATATTGAAGTTGAAGCATTTAAATATGCTGAAGATAATGGTTATGATTATTTAGATATATATAATGATGTTGATGTTTTTGGAGGTTATGCAACAATTGGATTTGAAATTGATTAATGGTAAGTTCTAACCTAAACTAAACTTGATTATTTATTCGTTACAATTAAGAGTGGAGTCTTAATTGCTGCAATTGCATTTTATCTAAAATACATAGTTAAAAATCAAATTAAAATTATTGGAGCAATGTTATATGGTGCAACTAAAAGAGAAGAAACAATATGTTCTCAAATTTTATAAGGATTTATTGATGGAATTATTTTTTGTCTCCACTAGTAGAAAAATCATAATGTGAATTAGTAAAAGCAGATGAAATTGCAGAATTCAATTCAGCCATAGCTTATGCTGGCTGTAACAAAACTTAGGATAAAAATAGTCTTGTCATTCTCTCAGGAAGCAATGTAACTGTTAGTGATTTATCTAAACTCATATCTAAATATCAATAATGATTTATTCTATCCATTATTATATAATCTTATTATTCATTAATTTGTTAAATAGAATTGCATCTCATCATAATCATCTTAACTATTAAACTTTATCACCACACTCTCCTTCGAATTGTACATAAATCCAGGAGTCACTTATTTTAATTCTGCTACTAATGCTTATTTAGGTTTCAATATCAATTTACTATGTTCTAATACAAATTTTATTACAGCCTAATATCATCTATATATTTTACTTTTTGATTTGGAATTCTCATATCTTCACTATCATATAATAATATATTTCTGTCTATTGATACTATTGCTAAACAATTTTATTATTCTGTCAGTACTGATCCAACATCTCACTATACTCGAGAAAAAAATTTCAAAATAAAAGGATTTGTTTATGGTAATGTTGGTTTCACTAATGATAAAGGAAATTAAGTTAAATAATATTTTATTTAAGGAAATCCTATTTCCTGAGAGTTTAAAATATCCTTAATAAATCCCACATCCTTAAATATTATTCAACTGCTTTCCTCTATTGAATTATACTCCTTAAATTTCTGTAATACCAATTACACCTAAGCACTTGGAGTTGTATTGAATCTATCTTTTAATAATCAATTTTTTACAAATTCTATTTTAAAATCAGATTTATTTTTAATCCATGTTTTTTTAAGTTTTAATCATAAAATTTCATCACATTTTAATGAAGCAAAATTAAAACTTCCCTAAATAAATTAAAATTTTATAATTAAACTACGTAACTGTATTATATAATTTAAAATATGTAAATAATGATATGATTCTATAAAAAGTAATTTCATAAATTTATTCACCAAACATAAGTATGTTTCATGGAATTTTTCCAAATAATATCTCATTCCTACTGAAATTATTTCTAATCTTTAAGATTCTTATTTAATAATTTCATTATAATATGCAATTATATCTTCTCCTAATTGAGCTAATTAAATAATTTATTAATGCATAACATGCTTAAACTTTCTTTCTTAATTGAAAAGATCTTTAGACCTTTTTTTATGATTACCTCCATTACTCATCATTTCATTATATAATTTATAAAATTTCTTGCTTCTTTCATTAAGAATAGCAAGCTATTCTCTTGCTGATTTTCTTTTTGTTTTAATTTTTGCAACAATTGCATTAATATTACTAGAATAAGCATTAATATTTGTTTCGAATTTTTCTTTTATCATTTTTTCCATATTTGTAATTAAAATCTAAAGTGATTTGCCTTATGACTAATGTAATTAATTGAGATGTTCTAATGAAGCTGAAAATTTAGGATAGATGACTTGATCTTAATCTTTAAAGATAGAGAGAAATGAAGGATTTTTATGAGTTAATAATTTAACATTATTTTATTCTAAGGTAATACGTTCTTTTAAAAAAGATATAATTGATTAGAGACTACGATCAGAGATTAGAACTCTTAAGTCTAGCTGTTCTATGACAGTATCAGAACAAAGTAAATGTTATTTTGCATTAGTAAGTATAAATTCTTCAGATGTTTTGAATTATAGAAATCCTTCACTTTTTCTATTAATACTCATTTCACGAAAGATCTTTTTTAATTTAGTAATTATATAATACATTGCCTTTTAATTCTGGATTAATAGGTTTTTATGGTGGTGGAAGAGGATTTTATGGTGGGATATGATTTTCCAGATTTTGTTATGTAATGAGGTCTCTATCAATATCTCGTATTGATTCAAATTAACCATCAGGGTTGTTATAAGTTTGCATACAAAAATTCCCTTATAAATTAAAATTAATATTAAAATAAATTCAATAAGGGGGAGGAGAGGAGATTTTTGCATATTCTATAATAAAGTTTAAATATTCCTTTGAATTGATGTTGTAAAAGGTATGTTGTATGTAAATAATATATTTTTTGAATATTAAATTAAAATGGCTTGTCATTTTTTCTAAGGTTTTTCAACTTTTCTTTTATTTTTTCTTTTCTTGTCTTATAAATATATAATGATTGTATTACTGTCATCATCTTCATCATTTTAATTATTGAGCTAATAAGCTAAAGTTTCTTTGATAAGTGGTCTTTGGATATCAATAGGTTTATCAATAATCTTGGCATTAGCATTAACTATTTAATCATTAATAGTTAATTATAAATGGACTGGAGGACGTAAAGCCTCCTGCAATTATGAGGACGATGAATACAAGAGTAAATAACTTGATAATTAAATAGTCTTCAATACTTCCTATTTTACTAAAATACATATATTCCAATAAGATCTCCATATTTTTTAAATTCCTAATACACATTAAAAGCAAGCACATCTTTATCAAATTCAACTTAAACTTCAAAATTTCTTAACAACTCTTAAACAGGTCGTTATTTTTTAGCCATTACTAATAGTGGTATGCCCTTTACATGTAAACAGGGCCTCAAGTTTACTAAAAATTGCGCACTATTTTCATCTTAAAATTATAATTCCAAAAATTGCATCTTATCTAAAGTGTCTTAATATTTAATATAAATAATAACTCCAAATATGATTGATAGGAGCATTCTATTTATGATGTTATACAATCTCTTAAATCACTTCATTCTCATTAACTTCTTAAGGAATCGAAAATATATAAACAGTATGCTTATCTGTAGAAACTTATTATGGTTTTATTGGTTGCACACTTTCCTTATTGGATTCTCTCGATGAACTTTATGATGAATGTCTATTTTTCTTTGTTTTCTTCATCTTCCTTGGCTCACTCGAAGAAGATGGAGATCTTCTCTTAATTCCTTGCCATACTTATTTATTATCAATTCTTTTGTTTTTCTTCTTCTTACTCGTACTTCTACTCTTGTATCTCCTTGAAGAATCACTACTGTCACTTCTACCTTTTGATTATTGCTAAAATTATATTAAAATTAAAACATTTCTTCTTAAAGAACGTTCTAAGTGCTCTTTGTCTAACATTTTCTTGTTTTCTAAATAATTCTTGAATGCATCACTTAACTCAACAGTCTCTTTTTATCTTCCTATATGAATAACATCCAAAAAACCNAGATTTTGTTATGTAATGAGGTCTCTATCAATATCTCTTATTGACTCAAATTAACCATCAGGATTATAAGTTTGCATACAAAAATTCACTTATAAATTAAAATTAATATTAAAATAAATTCAATAAGGGGAAAGGAGAGGAGATTTTGCATATTCTATAATAAAGTTTTAATATTCCTTGAATTGATGTTGTAAAAGGTGTGTGTATGTAAATAATATATTTTTTTTGAATATTAAATTAAATGGCTTGTCATTTCTTGTAAGGTTTTTCAACTTTTCTTTTATTTTTTCTTTTTTTGTCTTAAAAATATATATAATGATTGTATTACTGTCATTATCTTCATCATTTTAATTACTTAACTAATAAGCTAAAATTTCTTTGATAAGTGGTCTTTGGATATCAATAGGTTTATCAATAATCTTGGCATTAGCATTAACTATTGAATCATTAATAGTCAATTATAAATGGACTGGAGGACGTAAAGCCTCCTACAATTATGAGGACGATGAATGTAAGAGTAAATAACTTGATAATTAAATAGGCTTCAATACTTCCTATTTTACTAAAAAACATATATTCCAATAAGATCATATTTTTTAAATTCCTAATTCTCATTAAAAGCAAGCACATCTTTATCAACTTAAACCTCAAAATTTCTTAACAACTCTTAAACAGGTAGTTATTTTTTAGTCATTACTAAAAGTGGTATGCCCTTAACTTGTAAACAGGGCCTCAAGTTTACTAAAAATTGTGCACCATACTTATTTGTTATCAACTCTCTTGTTTTTCTTCTTCTTACTTGTACTTCTAATTTTGTATTCAAATATTAATAATATATTATTATTATTCAATTCTTTAATATATTATTATTTAATTCTTTAAATTCTAATTCTAAGAGAAGAATACTAATAATTAATCAAGATATGACTAAATGACTAAAATAGATTAATAAATTAAATAAACTTTTTATTTTAATTAAATAATATCTTTTTGAAGACTCACTACTATCACTTCTACCCTTTGATTACTGCTAAGATTAAATTAAAATTGTAAACATTTCTTCTTAAAGAACGTTCCAAGTGTCCTTTGTCTAACATTTTCTTGTTTTCTAAATAATTCTTGAATGCATCACTTAACTCAACAGTCTCTTTTTATCTTCCTATATGAATAACATCCAAAAAACCAATTACCATTCCTTCCAAAATTGAAATGCTTTTTTCCAATATAAACTAATTTAGCATTATCATCATTAGTCATTCCTATAGCTACATCACAAAATGATTCTTACTAATTAAACATTTACACAATTTCACATGATCCATCCAAATTAACTAAATATTACCATACATACCTTTCCTCTTAATAAAACTTAAGAATTCATTATCACTCGAAAGAAGATGAAGGTGATGAATCATTTGAAGAGGTACGCTTCTTAGTTGAAGTCTTATGACCAGGATCATTTCGACTTTCTTCAGGATATTAGCCTACGATACCTCCCTCCTTTTTTGTTTCTCCTTTTATACCATCATCTTAATATTGTTACTGCTAAATCATATTAATTATTTAAATATTAATGTTAAATTTTTTATTTTTTAAACTATCTACTTTCCTTCATCATATTAAATATCAAAATATGTTTACATCACCATAATTAGATTTTGCCAATCCTCATAACATTAATCATTTCTATCGTCAATTTTTTAAATATGATCCAAATACTTTTATTGGTGAAGGTTTCAAAAGAACCATTTAATATGAATCCTTAATTACAGAACAAGAACTCTTATAAAAAAGAAATGAATTTTGGGGTAATTCTTTATTAACAATTAAGAAACACGCACTGAAGGGAATTGGGAAAAACTTAAAGAAGTATTAAACATGGATGATGGTATTTTTATTATATTCAATTGCAAGAAAATGCTAAAGTTGCTCTGGAAGAAGCTAGCATCATTATGGATGGGAATAATATTTAGGTGGCCTATGATATGTTTGGTAACAAATATCCCTTTTAGATGAGAATATTTATATTCAATTCCAATCTTTGTTATCAATTTACCTGTATTCTATATACATATTAGAAAAGAAACTTAGAATTGAGAATTTGAGGAAAACGTAATCAAGGTAATTGATTATGCATATTATTAATAGTTTAAAATTAGAAGTATAAGATGAAATGATGATTTAATTGTTACATATAACAATAAAAATAAGATTGATTAATTGATGGAACAATTAAGAGTCAAAGAAAATCTGTAAAATGTTAGATTGTTTTTAAATGGAAAAGAAATGATGAAGGATTAACTTTTTGGAAATTATAATATCACTGATGAATCTATTGTACAAGCATTCCTATCTTGATTAATAAAATATAATACATAATGAATAAATAGAGACTTTAGAAAATATTGCCAATGCAATAGATTTAGGCGAAACTTAAATAGCTTAAACAAAGTATCCGAGCTAGTGAAATCAAGTCTTTGAGATCATCATGTTTATTCACTGACTAGAATCAAAATAAAAGTGTAGATGGAAGGACCATGTATATAAAGCCTTAATTCAAGAAAAAGATGAAAACAACTAAAATCGACTCAATCGATGAAAGTTAAATCAAGTTCAATTGTTACCTAATCCAAAACTACAGTATCTCCTAAAAAGACGATACAAGATATCTTAAGAAGTTACATTAAAAGTAAATCCCAAAAAGTAGAACAATTTCTAAATCAAAATCACCTTAAAAGTTAGAAAAAATTTCAAGTCCTTAATAAAGATAGATTAGATGTTAAAGTAAAAAGAAACAAAAATAAAAATATATAACTGTAGTTAGTTCTCAAAAGAAGAAATCTAAAAGCAAAAAACTTAGGTGCAGTATTATCAACCATAAATAAGTAAGATAAGTTCAATTAGATTAAATACCTTTTCAGTAAGAATCCTCAGAAAATGTTATTAAATTCTATAATTGAAGAATTCTAATTAATGAATGAATAACAAATGATTGAATTATAATAGTTTCTAAAAAACATTAAATAAGAAAAGAAAGATGAAGCTTTATAAACAAGCATACATGAAAAATTTGATTTTCAGAAGAAGTATCAATAATTTGCTTTTTAAGAAAATCTTCCGTTAGATATCATAAATAAAATATGTCATCAAAGAGAGGAAGGTATCAAATTTCGTGTTAATATGTAAATGGATGCATTTAATAATTTACTATAATAATAGAAAATATCTCCTAGGTCTTTCAAAAATAATAAGCAACTTCTTTAATAATGGGAAATCCAATAGACTGAGAAATTGTACAAGTATCAAGAAAAACTCAAGAAGATCTAAAATGTTACAAATAAGATATAATAAAAACTCAAAAAGATTTATAGTGCATACAAGAATTATAAGAAAATAAATCTATTATAGTTTAATAGTTATGTATTAAAATAGATATTATTTAGAGTAAATTTCATTCGAATCTAGTTATTTAGATTACTCTGATCTATAATTAAGCACTCCAAAATAATAGTAAAACAGCAATTTCAAAAGAAAAGACATTGTAATCGATGTTGAATTTTAACCATAACAATCTATAGTTTAAATTTAAACTAACGTTGGAATTATCAGTTTATTCGTCG